CCTAATATAGCGATGGCCTCCAACCGAATATAGCGATGGCCTCCAACCTAATAGCGATGTCCTCCTAGCGATGGTCTCCAACCCAATAGCAATGGCCTCCAACCTAATGGCTAGCAAAACCTTGTCACTTGTCAGAACTGTGACTCACCTTTGTGATGCGTGCACCTGGACCAAATCACCTAACACAAGAGCTTGATTATCGGGCCTGCAAGCTTGGTGACGTTCCGGTAGACTTCGTTGAAGCCACGCCCGGGATCCAGCGCCAACTGGCCATGGCAACAAGCAAATAAACATCAGACTGATTCCCAACAAACGCTCAAAGTGTGCCCGTCAAATGCGACAATTCGAACCCAAGTCTAGAGCTGGTTTGATTCCTTTACTCTCTCCAGAACTTACAAGGAATAAGTTTTCTCTCGATTTTTTCTCGGATCCCCAGGGATGCAGGGAAGGTCAGCTTCCTCGTTAATGAATACAATATTTTTTTTTTCAGTCTTCCTCGTTTGTTGATTGGGCTTACCTGCTGCTGGTCTATTTCCGGGGAATTTACATGGTCGGCAACTTCCTCGTAAGCAGCGTCCTCGCCGAGATTTACTTCCTCGTAAGTTCTGGGGAGTGTATGTTCGTTTTAGGAAGTGCATCAAGCCATCTTCAATACGACCTCGAATGACGATGTGTTTGGCCCTCTCCTTCCTCTCCTCCCTTTCCCCACCTTCACCACCTCGGCACTGGAGGGTGACTTCTGATTCCAGGTCTCTCGGTGTCGATAGACGTACTGGTAGCGGAAGGCCAAGTCCAAGCCCTCAGTATCGCCATCGATAAGGGCTACCAGTACTTCATCAAGTAAGCGCCTATTTTATTAAGTAAGGAGGTAAGCTAGGCTAAGTTAGCTTCTAGGGAGGACGCAGGATAGCTCACGCTTCTTCAAGGAAGCTTCCCCAGCCTGAGGGATCGGGGAGCTTCCTTGAATACATGCTCTCACTCATGATTCATTGGTTTCTAGATTTTGGGTCTGAAGCAAGGACGCTACTAGGGGCTCCTGGCCTTACTACTAGGAGCAAGAAGCTACTAGGGGCTCCTGGCATCGCTACTAGGAGCAAGGACGCTACTTGGGTCTGAGCTCCTGACCCAACGGTAAGGCCTTGGGACCTTTTGCATGGCCTTGACAACATCATAGCCAGGATCATAAGCAACCTAAGCAACATTAAGCACGGCCAATGCACACATGCAAACAAGCGCATGGGGCAGGCAGGTTCGGAACAGTCCTCTTCTCAGGTGTGGACCACGCAAAGCAACCGTGGAACGGTCTTTGAGAGTCCGTTGTCCTTGCAAAATGTGAACGACAGGACATGGAAAGCAATTGAAAGAAATTCACCTGGACTGTTCCGATCACCTCTCTGATTCACACGTCGAGGTCAATCCACAAAACTGACAACATCATGACGACATCCATTTTTCAGCAGCTCAAAGTATAGGACAATTTTACTTTTGATGCTCATTTCTTTACCTGAAAACATCATCTCAAATCTGTCTCGGAGGAAAAGAACTCTATGATCCTCTTAAATCCTCTCACCCATTTCTCACTAGTTCTCCAAGGCTCATCCTTCCACGCGGACAAGTGGGAGCGCAAGGCTCCATACCTCCCAGCAAAGCCTGAGCCACACGAAAAGCCCACCACCGCAATGGGCCGGTTGGGGGGCCACTTGTCCGACCATGAGGAGCACCTCATCCAAATCCTCGGACATCGCCATTTGGTGAAACCGTGTGACTTGAGACTGCAAAGCATGCAAGAGGAAATTCAGTCCGCACCAAGCTCAGAAATTTGATCCTTTTAACGGAATATGAAGGGGTGATGAAGAAATGATATACATGTTATAAAGTGTGTGCATGTTTCATACGAATGATGTGTTTGGCCTGGACACCTCATCGAAGCCGAAGACAGTCACCCGTGCAGACTCTGCATCCATGGCCAGATCTCCGTAGCCACGGCGGTTCATGACCCTGGGAGGGTGCTCTGAAAAGCCCATGGCCCTCTGCTTTTGTGCCAAAACATGCCAAACCACTTGGTAACGTTCACATTTCCGCATGTGTTTTCCGTCTGAGTAAGGTTCTTAGATATGGATGATCAGACTGTAGTCGACCCTTGCAGCCGTACAGTACCCATAGGGGCAAGCCCAGCTGAACTCATGACAACTTGTCAAACCTTGCATGCCTACCAATTTGTTAGAACATGTATGAACATGTTATAAATTATGGACTTGAGAGAGGAGGGGGTGAACGAAAGGTAGCAGGCAATCACAAGTAACCCTGGTAGAAGTCCACGACGGCGTGAACCGGCACAGGGGGGATTTGATCCAGGGGGGGGCCCCCCCCCCGACGAACAGAATCAACTCTTACAGGACCAAATTCAATGCACAATCCCAACTCCTGATTGTAATACATTTTTGCTAAAGCAAGGAGAACTCAGGTAGCTCAAGCTACCTTTCATGACATTATATAGTTATATAGTCTCCTACGCCATTCTATCAAATAGTCCATCGTGCTGCCTAATGGTTTTTGATCTGCTTCTCTTGCTTTCTTGAGCTTCAGTGTTTCGAAACCAGCGCCATCCGTCCAAGCGACAAGGTCAGCAAGCCCCGCTTGGCCAAGTCTTTGGCCATGTCCTTCATCGTGGCACTTCGACTGTCCTGCTCACGGTTTTTGATCACTTCAGGTTTATTGATCTGTTGCATTGATGAAAACAAGTTCCGATGAATAACAAGGCTGTTGTCAGGTGATGAAACAAATCGAAGCTGCTGCTCTGGACATGGAATCAGATCCCAACCTGGATGGCACCGTGCAGCAACACGCAAACTGGGCCATTGGGCAAAGCCTTGGCAGCGGGAAAGATGGGATATGACGAACTCCGCCCCATCAGCGTGGCAAGCACTCTGGTGTTTGTGGTCCCACTCTGGTTCTCTTGCATGTGCATGTTCAGTGGTTCCCGAATCCCTCGATGCGGTTTGGCTGCGTCTTCCGGCTTTGGCACCACCCAATCCACAGCTATGCGCGCAGTGTCTTTGAGCGTCAGAATCCTTGGCCAAACTCCCAAATCAAGCACCCTTCTTGGATCTTCTTGGCTTGTACCTGACAATGCTTTATGATGCTTTATGATTGATACATGATGATACTCCAGACTCAGTTCTTCTTCATTGGCAGTCCAATCGACAAGCCACAACGATGGGACCTTGGAACCGCAGAACGCTCTCCGTGATCTCACGTGATCTTCGGTGAGGCAAGGCTCTGTCGTTCATAAGCAGACCATTGAAATGCACTGCAAATCTCCTTGATGCCCAGTACAATGAGTTGCTGCAATGCAGTGTGGGCATACCAGGTCGGCCAATACCTTCAAACCCACGCGAAGACCCCTCCACCGGACCCTCCCGAACCTTTCACTGCAGGTTCTGTCTCACTCAGCCTTCCAGTCGTCTCCCATTTTCTGAAGTTCCGTCAGGATCTCCGTTTCAATCCCGCGCAGCCATGAAAAGGAGAAGCTTTCTTGAAGAACCTGATCTCTCCTGCAGCCTCTTTGCGTACTAGCATCATCTGTTGCGTACTGCTGAGCTACCTCCTACAAGGTCCTACAACTCTTGCAGATCTTACAGCTCTAACTGCCTTTAAGCCAATGTACTTGCTAAAACAGAGTATCTGAGTATCTAATGCCCATTGTTACTGGCGGCGATGCCCTTGCTCCTAGTAGCGTCCTTGCTCCTAGTGATGCCCTTTGCTACTAGTAGCGATGCCCTTGCTCCTAGTAGCTTCTATGGACCCAGCTGTGTCGGCCCAAGAGGCATCATGTGCAAAGACGGGCACTGCTGGATGATGCGCTGCATGCGCTGAGCAGGGAGACAGCTGGAGTTGTCGTGCTACAACTTGTCGTGCGCAAATCATGTCAAAATGAAATTCCGTATTGAGTGTGGATGATATTGATATTGATGATGATGTTGTTGATGATGATGATCTGATGGTGGTATAATTAGTAGCTTTACAGGAAACAAAGCTGTCAATAAGTGTCAGCCGCAGAAAGAATGCCATGTACACAAAACAAGTTACAGTATCTACACCAATTGTATCACATGTCATTGCTTCCTAGAAGTACTGCGTGTGCCACTTCTCTCACCTCTTACAGTAGCTCAATTGTTGATTCAACAACATGAAGTGATGGCCATTGCCTTCCGCGCGGTGTCTGAGCTGCTGGTGTTTGCCAGGTGCAGCTGTACCCGTCTCACACCTGAATTTGTTCAGCAGTTGAAGGAATGATCCAGTGGTTTGAGTGGCCATCTATATACAAGGCCCTAAGGCAACACTTTGCTGGGGGATTCATGTTCGAAGGAACCTCTCTCCACATAATACCAAATGCAGCCAAGTGCATCAATGCTTCCTCTTATACAGTATAAAGGTCTACACCTAGGGGAAAAATGGCAACTCGCAGCGTGCTACCCCTCAACCGCTGCCCACTGGCTCTGATCGGGAGTTCAGGAATCAGTGTCTGCAACCAGGGGCGTTAAGCTGAGTTGCCATGAAGATAATGTGCAATCCAAGCAATCACAAGGACCTTGGATGCTCAACTGCTGCTGTCTCTTCGCAACTTCTTTGAAGGAAAAAAGGGCTGGTGTGGGTCAAGAATCTGTATCACCAAAGGCTTCACTTGTAAAGAACTATGAACCAAAACCGTCAGAGGGCATTTGACATGTGCAGGCTGTTCAAAATTCAGCTTCAAACCAAATCATCAATTTTGGATGCTCTAGCCGCTAGCCGTCTTACTCCTCCAATCCCATAATATGCACGTACGTACTTGTGCCAGCCAAAAACAGCTTGAGTGGTGGAGGTTGCAAGCAAAAGGTATTCTAACATACTACCAACGTTAAGGTCATTTAGGGTCAAACATTTACCTTCTAAGGGACAGGAGTGGGGACAGGTACTAGGTTGGCAAGGGCCTAGCAAAGCATAAATGCACTAATACATCCGGATGCTGTTGACTGCCTTGGCCATTGGTCACTGACACCACGCCTAGGTGCCCAAAGTCGCCAGCCCAGCTTCTTGGACGCCCATTGTGCCCAGCGCAGCACATGGCTCACTTTCAGCTGCATGGAGAGCATCGTTTTCGCGAGTGAATGCGAGTGTCCAAGAGTGCCCAACGAGGTGCCCAACAGGCTCTTACAATGAGAGGCAAACCATAGGAGGCTGTCAAAGGCTAGAAGCTGCTATGTCTTTCAAAGGGCTCTTACAATGAGACCTGATTGCAGGATCTGGGTCTGGGGCAGTGCATCACTGGAGCTGAGGAGAGTTCAGTACAAGCGAAGTGGCCTTGCTGTGGCTTCTAAAACTGCTGCACGCTAAAAAATCTTTGTCAAGGGTTTGTAGGCTGGTTTAATCACAATCACATGTGTGATCATGTATGCCTGTGTGCCAAGGCATATTAGCTTCATTCTTGCAGCTGGCCTGGAGCAGAGATGGATCCGGCTGCTTGATTGTGGAAAATAAGGTGTATATATACATATATATATATATGTCGTATATGTATCATTATATATCCAGACGCTAGCGACGCTAAAAATAAGTGTTGCATATGGGATACGGGCCTCGGCTGGCTCGAGCTCTCGGTCCTCCATGGGATGCCAAGGGAGCTCGACACCCACTCGACGTGAGGCGTCGTACCTCAACAAATGTCGAAAAAGAATGCTTTTTTGACCGGAGGCCCGGCCTCCCTACTTAATTGAGTAAGGGTGACGACTTGATTAAGTAAGGGAGGAGTACGCTACTAGCAATAGGAAGCTCCTAGCTAGGACGCAGGATAGCTCACGCTTAATGATTTGGTTCCAGTGCTCTTATGACATGTGAACAGTTCCATTCAGACTGTGAAGAGATGTGAAGAGCATCGCTGAGTTATGGGCTTATCCAACTCTTTGGCACATCGCACCACATCGTGGGCGATTTCCTTCAGCAAAGAGTCGGTATCGTTTGGGCCCTACTCCACCTGCAGCGACTTCTTAGCTTTTCCTCTTTACAGTGATTGTTGGGGAGCCCATTTTCATGGGTGTAGCCCAGGGAAATAGGCTTCCTCGTTCTGATCCATTAATTCTTGGAGATGAGGTGTGCAACCCACAGTCCCCACAGAA